ACATGTAGCTATTTTATATTCGTATTTCTGACCAGCAACTTGACCAATCACTGGAGCTTGATGAACCTACAGCATCTTCAAAGGCCAAGCTGTCCATGTTCTGCAAAAACTTGACATCTTCTGACACAAGTACTCATGGAGGATTTTCTGTTCCGAGGCGTGCCGCTGAAGAATGCTTCCCCCGACTGGTAAGCTCGTATATCCTGATATATGTCACTCCATATATTCGTTAAACTGGATTCCAGGATTATCAGCAAACCCCTCCAGCTCAGGAGATTATAGCAAAAGATCTTCATGGAATTGAATGGAAGTTCCGCCACATCTACCGAGGTTCGTACATAGTTTTTGGCTATACTTTCTTACAAAATTCTTGTCTTATCCAGGACAACCACGAAGGCATCTTTTGACGACAGGGTGGAGTGTTTTTGTAAGCCAGAAGAAGCTTGTTGCTGGCGATACCGTTCTCTTTGTCAGGTGAGCTACGGATTTGATCTGTTTTTCATACCGTAATAATATTTCGTAACACGTAGGGGAGATAATGGTGAGTTGAGAATCGGGATTAGGCGTGCTGTGCGCACGCAGAGCAGTGTCACTTCGTCTTCGCTACTGTCTAGCCACAGTATGCAAATTGGAGTCCTGGCTGCTGCTGCTCATGCTGTATCCACTAAGACCATGTTCACCGTGTTCTACAATCCTCGGTTTGACATTCTTTGGATTTAACACGGCAAAGTGATGAATTTGTTTTTCTTCAGGGCTAGTCCAGCTGAATTTGTTGTTCCATACCACAAGTACGTGAAATCTTTCAAGATGAACATTTTGATTGGTATGCGCTTCAAAATGAGATTTGAGACTGAGGATTCGTCGGAGAGAAGGTAAATCGTTTTGAAGTGAATCTTTTTTTTTTTGTCTTCTTTTGCTAACAGTACTCGGTAGTGTCAGATATATGGGAACTATTACTGGAATTGGCGATATCGATCCAGCTCGATGGCCTGGCTCTAAATGGCGCTTCCTAAAGGTAAAGAGTCTTGTCTTCAAGTGACGCATTTTTTAGCTTCTTCCTTTTTTATATAAGGTCGGTTGGGACGAGCACGCGGCTAGCGAAAGACAGGAGAGGGTGTCACCATGGGAGATAGAGCCATTTATTGCTCCCAATGTGACTCCCCCAGTTTCGACGAAGAGATTCAGGCCAACAATGCTCACAGACATAAGTACGTTTCGATACTCTCTACATGCACTTTTAAACCTTGGTCTATTATCAGGTGTCAGTCGAAAGTCATACGACAATCATCTTCGTCAGATCCTACAGGCCAACCGTAATTTGCAGACATCTCACAAGTACGAGGCTGACGAGAGGGAAAACTTTCTCCTGAAGTCTCCTACAGCTCTCTATTCTGAGGCTAAGGTAACTTCAAGAGTTACTGAGGGTCATAGTGTTCCTGGTTTTCCTTCTGGATTGCCAAGCCCCGGAAACGAGGGGCTACCATCTCATCGTAAAGTCGATATGCACCAGCAGCAGCTTAGGCTTTGTGTTCAGCAGTTTCGAGAGCAGAAGGTTCCTCTACAATTCGAGAAACCGCAGCAGCCTTCTCCAACCAGCAGCTTCGCTTCTCGGCAAGCAGCATTAAGTTGCCCAGTCTACTTGCAGCCTCAACATACAACAGACAACTCTTTTCTTAAGCTTCTCATGTCGCCTACGCTGTCCTCGCTGCAACAGGCTCCCAGTAAGTAAAATCCATCGTCACTTCTTATGTAATGCTTTTTTGTCTACTCTTTTTTGTTCTTTCAGGAGTTGAGGAGCCCCTTGCAAGAGGTAATGCAAACGATTCTGACCGCGAGTGCAAACTATTTGGTTTCTCGTTGAAACCAAAGACAGCTTTGGCCAGCACCGTCAAAGACGACGTCCACAAGGATCTCGAGTCAGAAGCTTCCGGCTTCAGGAAGTGTTTTACTGGCCAGAACTGGAACCAGCAGCAGCAACAACAGCAACCAAGCAGGACTTGCACCAAAGTAAGATATCATTCTTTATTTGAAGCGCCAGACTCTGAATCTCTTCTACTTTTCACAGGTTCACAAACACGGTGCAGTGGGACGAGCTTTGGACTTGTCCAAGTTCCGGGGATACACACAACTCCTGGAGGAGCTGCAGCATCTGTTCGGCATTGACGAGAGCCTGAACGGGTCCGAGTGGCAAACCGTGTACGTAGATAACGAAGGCGACATGCTGCTCGTCGGAGACGACCCCTGGGAGTAAGATCTCGTCTGTGCATTTCATGGTGTGTTTGCTTAAAAGAGTTTTTACATTTCAGGGAGTTTTGCACGACGGTGCGATGCATACGGATCCTATCGCCGGCTGAGATCCAGAAGCTTACCGTGCAGGCACGCAACAGCAGCACGGAAGAGCCATCCAGCAGGCTGTCCGATCAGCAGGATTCTTCGTCTCCTCCCGCTACTAGCGACGAGTAATTAAGTAGCTCCTAAGATGCTTCGTTTTGCACTAATTGAGAACTTCCCCTTTTTGCCCTGTCTATATAAAGTAGTGGTACTTAGCTCAAGTTTAGAGTTCATCGATGATAAAGGGCTAGGGCAGTGATGGTGGATGCCGCGGATCTTGGGGTTGGGGTTGGTGGTCGCCGATCCTTCCCCTCTGCCCATGGTAGGCCGCTTTGCCTCTCTCCACCCTCGCAAGGTAAGTTCGTTTAGGTAGGGCTTTTCTTTGCGTTAGCAATAAGCGAGTAAGACAGAGATTTGGAAAGCGAAGCTTCTTGCAACGAGCTAAGAGGTATGCTAGAGGCGATCAAGAAATCGTGTTGAAACTCTCAACGCGCTCTTTCTTTTCGATTGCAACGCAAAAGGGCCAGTGACACAACAAACAACTCAAACAAGCAAAGTGCAAGACAACGGGCCAAGGAACTCTCAACGCGAAGGGAAACTCACCGATGTGGACAACGCTGTGTGAATACGAACAAAACTAACAATCAACGATACTTAGTTTCACGTTGCCAGGTTCGCGTGTGTTTCGATTTGTTCTAATTTCTTGTCATGAAGGGTGCTGCTCAACGACGATAAGAACTGAAAAACGCCATGTCACAGCGTGTGCCAAGAAGAGAAATGCTACTGGATTGGAGAGATTTTGTGTCAACGTTTTGGAGCTTTGAGTTGTGTTGTTGCTGCGCTCAACGCAAGACCTGCGAGCTGAGAAACAACGTTGGGAAACTGCGATCTTCAGAACTTAAATCCAGCTGAAGTTCTACCTGACAATGGTCCAACCTCAATGAAAACAACGATCAGGGCCTGTCAAGGATCAGCGACGGATCAAGTCCACTCTCGCCTCGCAAGGTAAAGGTAAGTTCGTTTAGAGTAAGACAACGAAACAAGAGAGATTTGCTGGAGACAAGAAAGCGAAGCTGCTTGCAACGAGCTAAGAGGTATTCTCTAGGCTAGAGGCGATTAAGAATTCGTGTTGAAACTCTCAACGTTTGAAGACGCTCTTTCTTTTCGATGCTATGCTCAACGCACACAGTCCAAGTTAATATAATATGCTTGAACAAACAACTCAAACAAGCTAAGTGCAAAACAACGATCCAAGGAACTCTCAACGCGAAGGGAAACTTGTTGTCAGGTTTGTGTGTGTTTCAATTTGTTCAAAGTTCTTGTCATCAAAAAGACAAGTGACATGTTGGTGCTGCTCAACCACGATAAGAACTAAAAAACGCTGTGTCCAAGAAGAAAAATGCTACGAGATTGGAGAGATTCTATGCCAACATTTTGTAGAGATTGTCAGCGATGTTGCTGCTGCTCAACGCAAGACCTGCGAGCTGAGAAACAACGTCGGGCATCTGCAATCTTCAAAACTTCAATCCAGTTGAAGACGTACATGACAATGGTCCAACCTCAACGAAAACAACGATCATGAAAACTCTGGCTGTCCAACGATATGGAAGTCGAAGTTTAACAGGTTCGTGAGCTGTTTGTTCTAACCAAAATGTTTGTTGAAAATGTACATGACAATGGTCCAACCTCAATGAAAACAACGATCATGATCCGTCGCTGATCCTTGACAGGCCCGGTCCACTCTCGCACCTCTCCACCTCGCAAGGTAAGTTTGTTCAGGGCTTTTCTTTGTGTTAGCAATAAGTGAGTAAGACAACGAAACAAGAGAGATTTGCTGGAGACAAGAAATATGTAGAATGATCACGATAAAAGAGAGGCTAGAAGCAATCAAGAATTTGTTGAAACTCTCAACGTTTGAAGACGCTCTTTCTTTTCGATTGAGATTGTCGACGGGGTCAAGAAGATGCTATGCTCAGCGCAAAAGGGAGCCAGTGACACACAGTCAAGCTAAGATTATATGCTCAAACGACTTAAACAAGCTATGCGCAAAACAACGGTCCAAGAAACTTTTAACGGGAAGGGAAACTTGTGAATACGAACAAAACTAACGATCATTGAAAGTTGACATACTTAGCTTCATGTTGTCAGGTTTGTGTGTGTTTCAATTTGTTCTAATTTCTTGTCATGAAAAAGACAAGTGACATGTTAGTGCTGCTCAACCACGATAAGAACTAAAAAACGCTGTGTCCAAGAAGAAAAATGCTACGAGATTGGAGAGATTCTGTGTCAACATTTTGGAGAGATTGTCAGTGATGTTGCTGCTGCGCTCAACGCAAGACCAGAAACAACGTTGGGCATCTGCGACTTCAGAACTTCAATCCAGTTGAAGACGTACATGACAATGGTCCAACCTCAATGAAAACAACAATCATGAAAACTCTAGCTGTTCAAGGATATGGAAGTCGAAGTTTCACAGGTGCTTGTTCTAACCAAAATGCTTGTTCAACGAACTGAGAGGCTTCAACCCCAGGTCTATGTTCTCTTTAGTTTTCTTTACGGTTTCACTGACTTCCTTTTGTTTTTGCAACGCCATGAGATTGCAACGGTGACATAGAACAACGTTCCAGGGCCAGCTAACGATGTGTAGATGGAAGTGTACGCTTTGGCAGTGGCAAAACGAGACAATCTACACGCACTCTGTGGTTTCCTTGAAAAGAAATGAATACATTTACAAAGTTGCAAATATTTGTCAAGTAGTTATGTCAAAAAACGCCAAAGTAGCTTGTAAGCTTCCCAGAGACGAGTGTCTGGGCGCTGTGGCAGCTACTCAAGAGCTCGTTAAACCTCTTGTAGCTGTCCGAGCTTGAAGACCTCGGGCTCGTCACTTCCAAAACTTCCAAGCCGATCCCCTCTGGTGTGAGCACGAGCAGCTTCGTGTCCTCTGTCCACGGCCGAGGAATTTCTTCCAGTCCAGTCGCTGCTGCCTGAGTGTTTTCATCCAGCCTTCTGTCCAGCCTTGCCACTAGCTCGTCCAGTCGTCCCTCTGGCTCCGTCTGAGGTAGCACTGCCTCTTCTTCGTCCCTGGCCTTTGGGAGTAGACTCAAAAGCTCGAGCTCATCTCCGCTTCTCAGGCACTCGAGCTCGTGCCTGAGCATAACGTCCTCTGGCTTTGAAGTTGCAGTATCACGGGCAGTCTCGGTCTCCTTGGTGTACTGCTGGTTGTATCTCTCCACAAAACTCACAACCTTTTCCTGGATCGACTCGGGGACGTCGCCACCTTGGAGCCGAGACGCACACGCAAGACTCTTTTCGTAGTCCCCTACCTCGTCTCTGTGAAAGGACATCTCGCGCAAGAGATAAACCGTCGGGGGAGGCTCGCTGTTGAGACGCATCAGCTTCGTCCAGAAAATGCTCCGGAACACCCGACGCCAGTTCGCCAGGATCCGGCAGCCACCTTCCGACCACTCAAGGCTCACTGCTCCATCCAAAACGCTGGCTGCGACACGGTTAGCCTCCGGTTCTTCGTAGCCGAGCTTGCTCAGGTACACTTCCAGCGGAGCCAGTAGAGACTTGTATTGAGCTCTCACGCAGTCGAGGATTGCCTCCGCCGACAACCGTGAGAGAGCTAGAGCAAACGGGGTTCGTTCGTCAAGGTGAGGAAAGGGAGGCAGTCGGCAGAGCTCCAGCGCGTAGAAAATTGGCTGCAAACTCCCAAAGCTGTTCCAGCCTGCGGGAGGAGTGTCCTGATCCTTATACCAAGCTTCCGACAAGGTCGCAAGGTCGGGAGGAGGCCAGTAACTGGGACTCGTACTGGCAGCGTTTGTCACCTCCGCTGTAGCATCGTGGAGCGCTTTGTTGAAGACTGCTACGTAGTCTCCGGGCTCGGCTTTGGTTTCTTCCCGTGACGAGTTTAACGTAGAGTAGAGCTTTTCTGCCACCAAGTCACGGAGATCCACAGCATGAAGCTCTGGCTGAGCCGGCGCTAAAGTCGCGAGCCACTCAATACCCCTGGCTAGAGTCTCACTGCAGTAGAACCCGTGTTCACTTTTCCCAGTGATCGATAAAACTATCCAGCTACTGATCTTGTCGCCGTCCAATCTGTGTAGCTGAAGCAGCAGTGCTAACTCTTCTTCTGGTGGCGGCCTTCTGTTGAGATCGCCCTCGTCTGATCCAAAGCCACTTGAAAATACCAACAGCGGCACAGACGTCCCGGTCGGAAGAGATTCCACCAGCGAATGTAGCTTGCTGCGCATCCTGCTTAGAGGCGAGCCTTCGTCAACCAAGAACAAGAGAGCGCTTGCCCCGTTGATACTTGGATGGAAGCTTCTGTCGAGACCAATCTCTTTGGTGATGCAGTGGCAAGCTACTTTGTTTTCGACGTTGCTCGAGATGTAGCATGTTACTGTGTCCCCTTCCAGATTTCCGATTAGCTTTGACCTCAGCCAGTGCGCCGGAAGCTCACTGCCTCGTCCCTTGGACGAATTGTCTCCCATGCAGAAAACCAGTTTCCAGTAAATAGTTTTCGCCCGTGGATTCTTAGCTCTGAGAACCGGAGAAACTATTTCCGACACGTCCAAGAACTTCCACATGCTGTTGAGAAGCGAGACTCGTTGCGTTTTCAAACGGTCCAAGTCTTCTTTGGCGAGTCCTTGCTTTGTAAGTCGAGAAACGTACTTTCGTCCGTGTTGGATCGGCAAGCCAAGGATCATTGATGACAGAGCCGCTCGGGCTCGTAGTTTTCGCAATCTGACAGCTTCCATGATAGCATCGGTCTTACGCTTCCACCTCCTACAAAAACCACTTAAAAGTTTCACGAGGAAAACTGAGTCAATACAAACCGGAACCAGAGCCGTGCACGTCCTGTACTTGCTTCCTCGAACTTCATCCTCTCTTCTTCTTGCCGAGCTTCTTCCAGTCGACCTTCTTCTTCTTTCCTTTCTAATTCCTCAGCTTCAGCCAGCGAAACCTCTCCAGGACTAGTAATCTCCTGTCTTTTTGGAGAGTGGTCCTGCTCCTCATAATCGTCTGAACGAGTTCTTTTACCTGTGGACGTTTTCTCAGCTAGCATGCTGTCTTGCATACTTGGCAGCGGAGCACCCACATCTATGAGTTTCTCGACTGGCTGGCTTAGATTAAGCGGCCGTAACCAATCAAACGATCCCGTCGGAAAGATGTAAGATGGAGCAACCGGAGTCTCGACTACCGTCGGGGCCTTTGCGATAAAAACTGGCGTCTCTCCGTCGTCATAGTCAGGCATTTCTTCTTCCACTATTTCCGCTGGAGCTTCTTGCACAGCGTTGAATGAAACGTACTCCGTCATATCCGTTTGTAGTTCCGGACTCTGAGCAGTGAACCGAGGAGCTTCTCTGTTCTGGGAGACAACGTCGTCAATAATTCTTGGGGATCTTTTGGATTCCACCAACCGGGATCTATGAAGCCCGTAGTCCTGGTCTTTATTCAGGAACTCGGACTCCTTTACCACGTAAGGCTCTTCAAACAGTTTGATAGAAAATCCATGATAAGATAAGAGATCGCCAACCTCATGCCTCTGAAAGAAAAAGGAGGTTTTAAGTATCGTTTGTTTCAATTACATTCGTACCTCCATGCCTAACCATTGCTTAAGTTGAGATAACGGGATGCCTTGAGACACCCTCAACCCGCTGTAAAGAGCGGCCAGCGCCTGGCTGCGAACCTGTGCGCTCCAGCACGTTAAAACCAGATAATACAGACAATTTATAGAAACCTTTGAAAACTGAGCATGCATGAGGCAGGCTTGTAAATAAGTGGCCTTTGCAGCAAGCTTGAAAAAACCGATGTAATTAGGAAGCTTGTACATCCTGATTCAAGAAGGTTACGTCAATAAAGGCTTCCAGTCGCTTACCTCGCAACTTTGCGGGCAAAAATAACATCAGAGGAATTTCTCATAGCAGGACTCATTGAGGACAAATGAACGGAGAGATCAAATGGTTCTACCTGGAAACAGAGGATAAGAAAATGTACAGCTTTCAAGACTATGATGAAAACTTACGGCAAAACCAGGATGCTGGTCGAGTTTGAGAAGCGCATAATACCCCCGGAATTCGGGCTCAGTCATAAGAGGCTCCCCTTTCCTTCGATGATCATCGTACATTTGGAAGAGCTCGCTAAACGCCTTGTTCATCTGCTCGATGTTAAGATGAGCGTCAAAACCCTCCACGAAGCCTTCCCCCTTGGGAAACTCGCACAACTCGTGCATGGCCAGTATATGCAGCCGAATCTGGGGAAGAAAGAAACGCAAAAAAATACGTTTTGACTTTCACGCCGCCACAGCAGAGAACTTACCATCTGCTCGTGCATCACAATGGCCTCGTGGTTGAAAATATGCTGCATCCTTAGATCCACCCTCACAGCTCGCATACGGTCCCAAAGAAAGTTATACAAGCCCAAGAGCTCCTGAGTATAAGACTGCTCCAAAAGGCCGAGAAGATAGTCCATGGTTGCTCGCAACACAGGCAAGGAGCGTATCAGCATTGGATCCTTGTCCGGAGTCCTCGTGTACTGCGAATGAAATAAGACACAGAATGAGCGAGCGATACACGCTCTTTCACCATTGCTTACTTGTCACCTTTTTCACAGCAAGACTGATAGAGGTCTGGTTTCTATCCCCGCCTACACGCTCGTAGCGATCGAGATCTCCTATCCGTTCTCTTTCGGATCTCTCACTCTCTGATAAGGAAGAACAAAGAGAGATGAGTGAAACAAGCACTATTGTGACTTCATACCTGGGCACATATCAGGACAAAGGCCAGGAATTGGCTCGCTGGGTCCAGAGAAGCTGGAGGAGCTTGGTCTAGGCACCGGCGGCTTCTGGATGGTAGATCCATGAGGAGGAAGAGGCGCTCCTCTTCTAGCCGGCAGGTCGAGAGAGAATGCCTCTGGAGAGAGCGCCTCGCCCCTTCTGTTGGACGGCGGATCGGGAGAGAATGGCGATGATGCCACCACCGCTGTCGCCGCTGCTGGCGCTGGAGCCCTGAATGCCGCCTTACCGAAACCGAATGGAAGCGTGGGCGGAGTGAGAGGACCGGCCGTGTCCGCTCCAAAATTCGTGTAGGCCGCGATCGGCGTGGCATTCTCCTCCATTTCCATAAACCCTAAAACATTTGCCCTAAAAGAAGCTAAGTGTAATCATACAAGAAGATTCGTAGAATCTTTCTTTCTACTTAGAAGATCTACGATTTTTTTTAAAACTTGAAGACTTTTGTGTTTGATACAATCGTCACTAACTTTTTGATAAGATAGCCGCGCAACAGCTCCGCTAAAGTTAGCAAGGAGTGAAACTAGTTGAAAGATTCGCTGCATTTTCCGGGCTTTCTAAGTTTGTCATCATCGCGCGCTGACCCTTTCTCCTTGCTCTTCGTCTTCCTCTTTGATCCTATCCAGCGCTTCCACCGCATTCATGACAAGGGGAAAGCTTGGTTTTCTCTAGCGCGCTCGCTGGTTTCTTCAATGGAAGAACACCAAGATGGCAAGGGAACGATGTGGGAATTGGATCAAACGCTGGATCAGCCACTGGGCGATGAAGCCACCCAAGTTCGCGGCTTCCAAAATTCCAAGGTAATCACCGCTTTGTCGTCCTTCTCTTGCATCTTCGTTGTAATCTTTCTCCAGGAGCATCCTTTGGCGGTGACCATCCGGCTAGCGTTTATAAGCCTGGGCGTTGTTTATGGCGACCTTGCGACGTCTCCCCTCTACGTTTTTCCCAGCGTTTTTCCCGACGGCATCGTCGACCGAAGGGACGTTCTCGGCGCCGTGTGCCTCATCGTCTACTCCTTCACGCTCATTCCTCTTATCAAGTATGTGTTCATCGTCTTGAGGGCAAATGACAATGGCGAAGGCAAGTTTCGATCGATCGTACTAGTTCTTGGTTTCCTCTCCCAAGACCTTAGAACTCATGAATCCATTCAGGTGGCACATTTGCTTTGTATTCTCTGATCTGTAGACACGCCAAAGTGAACACCATTCCAAACCAACACCCGACCGACCAGTACTTGACAACGTATAGCCGCCGCCCAGTGCCCGAGAACTCCCGAGCTTCCACCATCAAGAAGCTCCTCGAAGGCAGGAATTCCCTCCAGAAACTCCTGCTCGTCCTCGTTCTTCTTGGAACCTCCATGGTCATTGGCGATGGCGTCTTAACTCCAGCAATCTCGGGTATGTTTTCTTCGTCTTAAGCCACTCTAAACTAATCGCAGTCGTGTCCCTTTCGAATTTCTCCTTCCTCTTTTTGTGATCTTTTGTTTCGACCAGTGCTGTCATCAGTCAGTGGGATCAAAGTAGCTCATCCATCTTTTCACCAAGGTATTAATATAATCTTATTCACAGCAACTTTATCGTATTCCACTCGTCTCGATCGCTGATCAAGCTACTATGCTCGATTTGTGCGCGCAGGCCATGTCGTGATCCTGGCTTTGATCATCCTCGTGCTCTTGTTTAGCATGCAACACGTTGGGACGGACAAAGTGGGGGTCATGTTTGGCCCCGTCATTCTCGTCTGGCTCTTGTCTATTGGAGCCGTGGGTGTTTACAACATCGCGATTCACAAGCCGGATATCTTCCGGGCCCTCTCTCCCGTCGCTGGCTTCGATTTCTTGAGGAGAACCAAATCCAAAGGATGGGCCAGGCTTGGAGGAATCGTGCTCTCCATCACAGGTAAACTGTCCTTTCTCTTGAAAGTTTCTATCTTGGTTTTTTTTCTTCTTCCTTGCGTCTGAGTGACGTTGTTTTGTCGAGTTTTTCTTTGATATTTTCTGGTCTTTCTTTCCTCGGTCTTACTTCTGGTCTAATGCATGCCAGTGATATTAACAGATTGAGAAACTACAGGAGCCGAAGCCATGTTTGCGGACTTGGGACATTTTTCTACTGTGTCGATTCGGGTGAGTGTTGTGAACTCCTTTTTCTTTGATCATGGAAGATAATTTTCTTGTAAGAGTTCATCGTGGTCTGTGTTTTGTAGCTGGCTTTCACGTCTTTGGTGTTTCCTTGTTTGCTGGCTGCGTACCTCGGTCAAGCGTCATTCCTTCTCAAGTTTCCCGACAAGGTGGATCAAACTTTCTATAGATCAATCCCAGGTAGGCGAGAGTTTTTATTCTTCTTGATCAAAAGCTCTCTCGCATTTTATCAGATCCAGTCTACTGGCCAATGTTTGTCATTGCAACAGTTGCAGCCATCGTTGCAAGTCAGGCAACAATCTCCGCCACCTTCTCCATCGTCAAGCAATCGGTAGCTCTCGGGTGCTTCCCCCGGGTGAAGATCATCCACACCTCCAACCGCATTCTCGGCCAAATCTACGTCCCGGAGGTGAACTGGATTCTCATGCTCCTCTGTCTGGCCATCACCGCGGGATTCCGAGAAACAACCCAAATCGGCAACGCTTACGGTTCGTCAACCCAAAGTTCTATCAAGATCGTCACCTCTCTTTTTTCTTCTCGATCCAAACAGGAATCGCTGTCATGGCCGTGATGCTCGTCACCACTCTTCTCATGACCTTGATCATGCTCTTCATTTGGCAGACCAACTTATCCCTCGTCCTCCTCTTCCTCGTCACCTTTGGCTCCGTGGAAACAATCTACTTCTCCGCGGTGCTCTTCAAGATCGCCAAGGGCGGCTGGGTTCCTCTCGCCATCGCCGCGGCACTCATGCTCATCTTCTACGCCTGGCACTACGGCACCGTCAAGCGCTACCAGTTTGAGATCCAGAACAAGGTCCCGCTCGCCTGGATCCTGGGCCTCGGCCCCAGCCTCGGCCTCGTCCGCGTCCCAGGAGTCGGCTTCGTCTACACCGATCTCGCCCACGGCGTCCCCTCGATGTTTTCTCACTTCATCACTCACCTCCCGGCGATACACTCCGTCCTCGTCTTCGTCTGCGTCAAGTACCTTCCCGTCAACACCGTGCTCGAGGACGAGAGGTTCCTCTTCCGGCGGATCGGCCCACCAGACTACTGGATGTACCGCTGTACCGTGCGATATGGATACCGCGACCTCCACCGCAGAGACGAGCAGTTCGAGGAGCGCCTGATAGGAGCTCTGGCCGACTTCATCCGCAAGGATGATGACAACAATCGGGTGGAAACGTCGTCCACGGCGCCGTCGGAGCCGATGACCATGGCTGCCTCCGATCGGGAGCAGAGCTTGCCGTCCGCGATATCGCCCAACGATCGCCGGTTTAGCTTCAGCTACAACAGCAACGAGGAGGCGAGCTGCTGCTCGGTGGAGATCAGAAGGGTGATGGGCGATCAGTCGGGCACGTCGAGTTACAACTCGAGGGATTACCAGGTGGTGCTGAGCCAGCGGCGGATCGAGCATCAGGTGGTGGAGGATCAGCTCAAGTTTTTGGTGGCAGCCAAGGAGAGCGGCGTGGTTCATATCCTGGGGAACACGGTGGTCAAGGCGAGGAAGGGGTCGGGACTGGCCAAGAGAATAGCCATCAACCATGTCTACAGCTTCTTGAGGAAGGTTTGCCGCGAGACCAGCGTCATTTACCACATACCTCACGAGACAATGCTCAACGTTGGGATGATTTACGATGTGTAGGCAGGATTCTATGTGTACGTACAACGAGTCATATGTATAAATACTTTATGCCGTTCTTTGTCACCAAGATTCCTACTTTGTTTTGAAAAACAGATATAAACAAACACTTGTGCAAAGAGATGAAAGTATTTCTATTTTTGACAATGTTCTGGTTTGTTGTCTTTGCATATTGTGAAATAGGTACAAAATGTATTCAGGATGAAGGTGGAGGTGTAGGTGAAGGTGGTGGTGGGGGTAATGATGATGGTGGTGGAAGTGGTGCTGTCTTAAAACTTTTCAAAAATCATGTGTGAAAAATGTCAACATACAAGAATTAAAAAGAAATCTTGAATGTGTATATCAATTATATTTACTTTAAAACACCTTTAGTTTTTAAAAATTTAGATATAAAATGAATGTTTAAAACAATATTATAACACAATTTAAAAATTGGTAATATAATAAATGAAAAGAATGGTGTAAGCGCAAGGAATATGGAAAGAGAATACAGAAAATGTGCATATCAATTAACTTAAAAACCCTCTTATATATAGGAACAAGTGGTCTGGATTAAAACCAATCTGACGGCTACTAAAATCCCAGTATATTAATATTAATATATGACATCGTAGCCATACATTTGGACCTCACAGCATCCCCTCTTCTCGGAATAATGGAAAACCATCAAGGTTTTCTTGTAGATGGGCTAGGTTCTAAAGAAATGTTAGGAGGAGGCATCAATGGATCTGTAGGTGGTATTAACTGTTCTTGATCCCTTTATACAAAGCATTTCAACTGTTGCACATGCACAATTTTTAGAGGGTTGGCCTGTTGGATGTCATGTTGAACCTCATAAACTTATGATTTAACTTGCCACAACACCTGATATGGTCCTTTTCACTGAGAAAGGAGACCCTTAAATAAACCACGCATTATAAGATGAGGAAAATAAATTAACACTATGTCATCCATTTTGTACTCTGCAAGTGAACGATGATGGGAGTTGTATCACTGTTATGATCCCACTTATATACGGCCTAAGTGTTCAGTAGACTCTGTTTAGACAATTGGAAGAATGCTCATCAAATACTGATCTTATGACCTAGAATCAGCAGCTCATGGTAATCATGAAGGTAAACTTAGCTCTATTAGTAATATTGGATCATGACTATATAGAAGTTTATATGGTGAAACACCAATAAAACTCTACACACCTATGATATATGCATACTGAAAAGATGGCAAATAACCATCCCAATCCGAATGCTGAAAGTTTATATACTTTGCAATCATTCCTTTGAATGTCCGAATAAGCTGTTCCACCAAATCGTCTGACTGTGGATGATAAACACTCGTGAATATGTGGCGTATCCCCAATTGAGATGTCAAAAAATGAAATGCCTTAGCCATAAATGTGGGACCATTATCTGAATGAATCCGCTCCAAATAAGAATGCTGGAACACCACTCGATTAAGGAGGAAGTATCTAATAGTAGTTGCAGAGGCGCTAGCAAGAGCACCAACTTCCACCTAATAAGTCAAATAGTCAGAAACAATAATAATATATTCATT